CAGCCGGTCACCATGATGCAAACATGAAATATCAGACATACAGTAGTTACAGGTTTTTATTCAGTTGCGCTGCTTTTCCACTGTTTTTTTTATATAAACATGGACGGGCTTGAATGTTACTCTCGCGTCTCTTGCAGCGTCTCATGCATGAAACGGCATTCTAATGTGTGTGTGTGTGCTTTTAAACAAAAAAAAAATACATACACATAAAAAAATAGTTTATATCTCACAATCCTGATTTTTTTCCCTCAGAATTGCGAGTTTTTATCTCAGAATAATAATTTTTTTAATTAATATTTTGAATTTTAATTCAAATAATTTTTTTATATTTTTCATTTTAATTTTAGTTTAGTAATTTTGTTGTGTGATTTTATTTTTATGCTTTTTGTTTTTCTTTAATGTAGCTTTTATTTTTTATAATTTCAATTGTAGTTGTTTTACTTTATCAAGTTAAGAATTCTAAATGAAAACGAGAACTCTTGCTTTGGCAACTAGCTGTAAGTTTAAATATTTTCTTTTATTTCCGCTGTTTTTTTTTTTTATTTCAAGGGGAAAAAATGTTTAAGGTTTTATCTTTAGTTAACGATAACCCTGATTCACATTCACCTTGAAGTGCACAGCGCATGCAGACGACATATTTACATATCATAGTTAAAACTGCAGATTTTGTAATAGTTTGTCCTGTGATTTAGATTTTTACTCACTAGCAGTAAACTACATTTACGTCAAAATCTCACCTAAAACGATGGCCAGCATCTGCGTGGCCTTCCTCTCCTTCTGCTGCGACAGTCTTCCTCTCGCTCTCTCCTTCGCCGCCGCTCCTTTCTCTCGGTCTGTGTTTCTGTCCCTCCATCCGTGGCGTGTGTGTGTGTTCTCCTGCGCCGTGGCCCTGCGAGGGCCGGGGCCCGAAAGCGCTGGACTGGGAGCCACCGACACAGACTGCTGCTGCTGATCTCTGTCCGGATTCAGAAAACACACGGGCTCCACGTCCAGAGGATGAACCACAGCCTCCTTCACCAGCGTCTGTCACAGAGAACACACTGATTCACTGCTGATTCACACACACACACACACACACACACACACACACAGACACATACACACACACACACACACACACACAAGACATGTGCCGGTATTCAGTAATGCGATATATCACGGTAATGAATATGCACGGTATATTGTTATCGTGGGCACTTCAAAATACCGTGAATAATTATGTATTACAAATTATTCCGATTTTTTGAATGCATTTTAAGAATATTTTTGGAGGAACGCATGAGAGACGCGCTGAATGAAAGCACACATTCACTCTCTGACAGCAGATGGCGCTAAACAGCAGAAACGCAGCCGTTACCCCGGAAACCATGTAAACACAGCAGCTGCACTACTTTCTGTTTCTGCTACTTTCTGTTTCTGAAACGTGTTTAAATTATTTAAACAGCCATTCAGATTTTTGATGCCATTGATTTTTTTTGATTTTTGTATGAAACGCACACACACACACACACTCACACTCACTCACACACACACTCTGAACATGAGAAGGACTGCAGTGTTTTACCACTTTCTTGCGTTGTGGAGCAGCTGGAGGAGGCTTCACTATTAAAGTGCACAACTTCACATCTTCAGGATGAGTGCATTTATTCTGACAAACAAAAAGAGAGATTCATTCGACTCTTAATTGTAGAAACATGCATTTTCTGTAAAGCTGGTTTGAAACGATTGTAAAAAAGTGCTATACGAATAAATCTGAATTGAATTTAATTCAGCAGTTCTCTTAACAGATGCAAAATAATGCCTACCATAATAATAATATTATTATTAATAATAATAATCAGTATTATTATAATGCATAAAGCCTTTTACAGAGTGGTGAATTAAGGTAAGAATGTTTTTGAAAGAAGTCTCTTCTGGTCACCAAGGCTGCTTTTATTTAATAAAAAAAACAGTAAAAAATTGAAATATTATTTCAATGTAAAACAGCTGTTTTCTATGTGAATATCTGTTAAACTGTAATTTATTTCTGTGATGCGCAGCTGTATTTTCAGCATCATTACTCCAGTCTTCAGTGTCACATGATCTTCAGAAATCATTCTAATATGCTGATTTGCTGCTCAAGAAACATTTCTGATTATTATCAATGTTCAAAACAGTCGTGCTGCACAATATTTGATACAATATGATACATTTTATTTTCCAGGATTCACAGATGAATAGAAAGTTCAAAAGAACAGCATTTATTTGAAATAGAAATCTTTTGTTACATTATAAATGTCTTTACTGGCACTTTTGATCAATTTAATGCGTCCTTGATGAATAAAATGAATAAAAGTATTAATATCTTTCCCAGCACACCTTGCGGGATCTCTGTGCATCTCTGGGCTCTGGATGGAGGCCATGTCTGCGTGAAGGTGCGGTGCGTCTGCCCCGTCTGCGCAGCACCACGCAGATCTGCACATACACCAGCAGGGTCACAATGAAGGGCACGTAAAAGGAAGCAACAGACGAGTAAACCACGAAAGCAGGGTCGGCAAAACTGCAGTCTCTCCCTTCCTGACTGGCTGATAAGAGAGAGAGAAAAGAGAAGAGTGAATCTCATGCAAACACAGTTCACACATGATGAAAATGCACTCACCCTCAGTTCATCCGAGATTAGGATGAGTTTGTTTCTTCATCAGATCTGGAGAAATGTAGCATTGCATCAGTGTCTCAGCAGTGAATGGGTGCCGTCAGAATGAGAGTCCAAACAGCTGATAAAAACATCACAATAATCCACAAGTAATCCACAGCACTCCAGTCCATCAGTTAACATCTGGAGAAGACAAAAGCTGAAACACATCCAGCATTAAGACGTTTTTAACTCAAATACATCGAGTCCATAATCCATAATAATGCTTCCTCCAGTGAAAATGTGTTCTGGTCTGAATCAGGAGAGAAATCTGCACAGATCAAGCAGCGTCTAAACAAATATGTGGCTAGATTACTCTCATTCTGACGGCACCCATTCACTGCAGAGACACTGATGCAATGCTACATTTCTCCAATCTGATGAAGAAACAAACTCATCCTGATCTCTGATGGACTGAGGGTGAAGGTATTTTCATTTTTTTGGTGAACTATTCCTATATTGGAGTAAAGGAAGTTACATGAAGCTGAATAAATATGACAGAATATTCATTCTGAGTGAATAACATCTTGTTAAAGAAACTTGACTTAAACATAACTTCAAGATGCTCACAAAGGAAACGTCATGTTTGGTTGAATGCTGCGTATTATCTGTGTTTGTTATCTTTTCATCGCCTCATCCTCGTGCTGGGACCATCTGTGAAGGTCTCTGAACGCAAACGTGCCACTTGAGCTGAAGAGCGTCTCACTTATTGCTACATGTGACATTAATAATAACTAAAATCAACTGGAGGTCAACTAGTTAAAATATTTTAAATATTTCCTTGAACAACTGCGCTGGAGGATAGAGCACTTTTCATAAATTACAAGACTTATAAAACTGTTGAAAGAGAAATCAGAGGAATTTTCCTGTAGGAAGGTGAAACCAGAACTGAGATCTCTTTAATAACTCAATTGTTTCTCATAGACACCAATGAAACAAAATGGAGAAGAAATGCAAGACTCTACAAATGTTTTATTTATTTTTTTCCCCTAAATGCCTTTTTTTTCGTTTTAATTGCTATGGATTTCATTTAAATAGTTAAATTAAATTTTAGTAATCAAAAAGCATGTCTAATTAGTTTAAATCACAAAACATACATTTTTTTTAAAATTACATTTTTAAATTTTAACAAAAAATTTATTTTTAAATTAAATCAATTTTTTTTTTCCTAAATTCAATTTTTTAAAATAACTTCCTCTGGATTTTCTGGACATGTCAGTAATCAAAATGCAAGTCTAATTAATTGAATTAATAATGAAGATTACAAAATTAAATTTTTTTTTTTAAAAGTTTAACAGATATGAAATATGTTTTCCTTTTGCCCAAATTCTATTTAATTTTTTTCCCCCCAAAGTCTTTTTTCTTCCATTTTTTTATATTTTCTGGATTCTATTTTAATGGTTTAATTAAAAATGTATAATCAAAAAGCATTTGAATACATACAATCTAATAATTTTTAGAATAATGAAATTATTTCTTCAGAAATTCTGCATTGTCTGTTTTAATTTTTCTGGATTTATGATTTAATACAAATATATAATCAAAAATGATGGTAATCAAAATGAAGGCATAAAACATAACTATTTAATTAAACTTTTTTTGAACAATTTAATTAAAAAACAAAGCGCTTCACAACAGAGGTAATAATAATAATAATAATAAGAGGAAATATGGAAGAAGATTTGTAGGATATTATTGTTATTGTTATTATTATCATCACTACTACTACTACTACTATCATTATTTTGAGAAATACATTCTACTGTAGAATAGTTATAAACTTCTGTCATAATTTCTTCAAATTAAACCAAACTTTTATTTTGGTGGGTTGTCGTGAAGATCTCTGCCGATAGTTTTTTTCCAAATTAAACTGTGAAATGCTGATGAAGTGACTCTCAGAGCAGCTCTGGAGATGAACTTCACGTGTTATTATACATATTATACATATAGCGATGGCAGACATTTCTCATAGACACTAATGAATCGAGCTGAAGCACAATCTGACACAATGGCTCTAACAATAACACATTCATAATTAATTCACAGACCTTTCCTGCTCTCCATTCCGGCAGTGATGATTCCCGCTGAGCTAAACAGATGTGTTTTGGGATCACCTGGAGGATGTGATCTTTGCAGGGATACTGGGAGTTGCTCTTATTCCCAAATCCTTACATGTAACTGTATATGAGCGCTGATCTTTAGAGCTTTAACGTGAAGGAGAAACACACATATCGACCGGAGTGCGGACGTGATAATTATGCACGGAGGGAAACCTCATTACGAGCGCATAAATCCAGCCACGTCCCTCTGGATGGAGATCAATGCTAAAGTTCACTGTGCTGCTTCAACCAATGAAGCTCATAAAGACACAGACGGAGCTGAAGGAGGAGAAATATGAGATTAAACTCGACGGCTCTGGGCTGAGCAGAGATTACTTTCACTGTTTTAGAAGAACTTCAGCTCTTCGTTCAGCGTCCATTTACATCAAATCTGGACGATCGACGTGGTCGTAATGAACCGTTGCTGTGTGTTAAAAAACTGAGAGAAGTTACTGAGAGAAGTCATAACAGGACTTGAGCATCTATTAACTCTGTAAAGCCTGACATATGAAGTAATAGTCAGGAAAATATTTTTCTTAATTTTTTTAATGGAACAGTTTATTGAACCTTTAGACAATTCTTTTTTTTATTCTAATAAATTTTGCATTTTTTATTGAGTATCATATTTGATGCATAAGGCTTTTATGGCTCATTTAGTGAGAATATAAAGTAAAAACAGCTCATTTTATTCAAAAACTGAGCAAAAATCTGAATTTGCTGCAGATGCTGATATTTCTATGAGCTTCAATCAGACGACAGAAGAGATTGAGTGCAACAGCACCGTTTTGATCATCTAGAGACCTCAGAAATTAGGCTTTATAGGGCTAATGTTGACTGTTCATGTAAAAGAAAACAAAAGATTGTGATTCTATGGATGCAGTTTCCTCATAGACCAGTTATGAGGTCCAGGTGAGTGTGTGTACCTGTGTTGTTGAGTCCAAACAGCAGCGGGCAGGAGATGGCGAAGGACAGGAACCAGACGACAGCGATCATCAGAGCCACGCGTCTTCTGGAGCTGTAGCGTGTGTTGTAGAGTAACGGCATGGCCACGGCTGTGTACCTGCACATCAACACACGCTTAGATCAGTGAGCAAATTACTGATGTAAATACTCCAGAAAAAAAAAAAAAATGCTATTTTACATTCTTAATCAAATTTGAAAAATAAAAATAATAATACTCCAGAAAATTTAAAAATATGCTATTTTGCATTCCTAATCAAATTTGAAAAATAAAAATAATAATACTCCAGAAAATAAAAAAATATGCTATTTTGCATTCCTAATCAAATAAAAAAATTGGAAATAATAAAAAAATAGAAAATATATATAGAAGACATATAAAATACAACACGAAACTGCAACACGAGCAGAATCATTTACCGAGAAGTTTGAGAAGTTTTAAAGGTCGTGACCCACCATTCAGTCTTCAGAAAGTCAAAAATGAAACCGCTTTTGAATAGGAACAAAAATACAATTTCCGTTGAGATGAGAAATGAATTGGTTGGTTATTATCAAGTGGACTTGAATGAGATGAGTCAGTTTTCTCTTTACCGCGTCGCGCATTTATATAACGCCAAACTCATCCACGATGCTGAGAAGCAAAGCACTTTACGTGCAGCTCGTTATGCATGCACCTCGACTTTAATGCATGCTTCCAATTTTCCAGCATGGGTTTAATGAGGAGCAGCATTCGCTAAAATTCCCCGCAAGCGTAAAAAGTGCCTCAAACACAGGATTTATAATTCATAACCTCCTCTGCCAGCATGCAATTGCCTGGAGTGCATTTAAACCGAAGATAAATTCAGGTCAAGCGAAGCTCCAAAGGCGAAACAGATTAGGAAATTGCGAAAACGTTAATCAAAATCATTCTTGTTTTTATTCTGGAAAGGGATTTCATTCCCGCTGTTAGTCAGTGAGTGGACTGAGAGGTGAAAGGGCCGGATGGGTCACCTGTCGATGCTGATGGCACACAGGTTGAGGATGCTGGCGGTGCACATCATGACGTCCAGCGTGAGCAGAATATCACAGTGGATCCGACTGAACCTCCATTCTCCCACAACCTACACACACATTTGAGGAATCAGCACAGAATCTGATCCACACTCTGACCATGAACCGGCCAATCAGAAAGCAGGAGACCCTATGATTGACACGTGAAGTGACCAATCACAGTTTGTTTTGTTCTTATATAAGGCCATGTAACTTCTGTGATGCAAACAGAATCATGTAATCGAGTCATAAAAGTCATAAAAATGAGTTTGTTACAACTCGTCAAAATAAAAGTTCGGTTTAACTTGAAGAAATTGTGACAAAAATATATTACTATTGTACAGTAGAATACTTATCTCAAATAGTAATAATAATAAAAGTAAAAAAGTAATAATAAAAAACATTACAACTTTATTTTTTAAGGAATAGCATGCTTTTATGCCATTATTTTTTTTTCTTTACATTTTAAAAGATTAATTAAAATGTTAATGTTTCATGCCTTCATTTGATTACTACCATTTTTGATAATGAATTTATGTTAAATCCAAAAAAATTAAAACAGACAATTTCTGGAAAAAAAGGGGCTTGATTGAAAATGAATAAATTGTTAAAAGTTGTATAAATTCAATACATTATTAAAATGTAATTAAACCATCAATATGGAATTGAGAAAAGTGTAAACATAAAACAGAATTTGGAAAAAATATATATATTGCCCTAAAAATAAATTGTTGTTAAATTGTATAAGTTTCATGATTTCAATTTAACTGAAAATGGAATCCAGAAAAATTTAAAGTGTAAAAAAAGAAATCCAGAAACTTCAGCCTATATAACTTACATTTTTACAAATGGCTAATCCAGAAAAATTAGAACTATAACAGAATTTGATAAAAAATAAACAAATAAAATTTGGGAAAAATTAAAGGGATTGCAAAGGGCCCTTAAAAATTACATTTTTGTTTAATAAAAATAGTTGTTCAATTGCATACGTTTTTGTGATTAATTACACATGCTTTTGATAGCTAAAGTTTAATTTAACCATTAAAATGGAATCCAGGCAATAATAAAGGTAAAAATAAATAAAAGCAATAATAATAAAGGTAGAGGAAAATACAGAATTTGTGTAAAATAAAATGCAATTTGGGAAAAATTAAACCGATTTCATATGGCTCTACTTCTGTGCTTATCAAGGCTGCAACTACATTTAATTACCAATTTAACCGACCAATCACGACGTCCACTGACCTCCAGATAGACGCCCCAGGGCATCACCAGCGTGGCCAGGAGCAGGTCGGACACGGCCAGAGACACGATGAGGTAATTGGTGGTGGTCTGCAGCGCTTTCTCTCGGGACACAGCCACACACACCAACACATTACCAAACACCACGCAAAAAATCAGCAACACCAGCAACACGGCGTAGAAGTTATACGGCGGAGACGAGGGAGACGGAGACACCGAGCAGTTCGTCTGCGGGAGAAACGAGGACAGAGACGGAGATGAATCCGGGGTTGGGGAAGCGCTGGAGACGCTGTCTTCAGTCACGTTCAGAAGAGGCATAATGAAGCTCCTCTGGGCACCTGAGAAGATAGACATGAAATATAAAATTAACACCAAAAATTACAATTCTGACCTTTAGTCATTAAACCACTTTGTAATGGTCATAATAGGATATTTCCCATGAGCACAAGCTGTTTGAGAAACACAAATGTCCATTTGATCCACTTTATTTTTAGCATATATGATAGAGCAGGGTTATGATGGTTATCTAAAACTAAATTCTAAAAAAATTCATTACTTCAAAAAAAAAAAAAAAAAGTTACTTAAAAAAAATAAATGAAAATATAAAAAAAATAGAAATATATATATTAAAATAAAATATATACCGGTAGTTAAAAATCATTAATTGAAACAAAATAAAAATTAACTGAAATAATATATGTATATAAAAACTTAATTAAAGCTCCATTTGATCCACTTCATTATTAATATATAAGGCAGAACCAGGGTTATTACAGTTAACTAATTGAAATAAAATAAATAATGACTGAAATAAAATAAAATGTAAACATTTTTGATTGGCTTTATTATTAATATATAAGAAAGAACAAGGCAGGGTTATTATAGTTAACTAAAACCATAAATAATTAATAATAATAATAAACAAACATTTTCATAAACATTTTCAACAATTTAAATTTCCTTACTTAAAAATAACGTTAAAAATTTACCTAAAGGTTCATTTGATCCACTTAACTGTAATAAAAAAAAATCAAACTTCAGCTAGTTGCCAAATAATAATTTTCTCATTATTATTTAGTTTAAGTTGAGCTACTAAAATAAGTAAAACAAAAAAATAGTATGTAAATGACACTAAAACAACACTGAGCTAGTCTCTTTTAAATTAAGGAACTGGTTAGTTGTAGTTAACAGCATAACATGACATGTTTTCTGCATTTACTATTGGCCACTGAACAGCATGTCATTGCATCACTGGTGAATAAATCACATTCTAAATCACATTCGTGTTCACATTCGCACACACGTACATGATCTGGAGCCTCATTTATAAAATGTTGTGCAGAAACCATTCTAAATATGATCTTACCATCATCTCTCAAATATGCGTACGTGTGATTCATATAATGAACGTACGCACAGAAAGCACACGTATGCATCTCTTTCAGATGTAAATGATCTTGAACTTGCGCGCAACTGAATTGTTTCAGCTCTCTGAGCACATGCACGCTTTATAAATGAGGCCCCTGGCTTTCAGTCTCTCATATCAGTTTCATATCATTCAGTTTTCATATCTCATTACTTTCGATTTTGCAAGCACTTCAGTGAAAGTGGCGCCCAGCGCCGGACTAATTGCATTGGTGAGCCACTCTGGTGGCATCAAGAACTTTGCTCAAAGGAATGAATGTGACGCTTCGGCGAGGTAAAGCTGGTACGACTGCAGCTGCATGCAGAAGAGTCACGCATTAGTCATGCAACGCCAGGGATTTAAATTAATAGTCTATTGAAACTACTGAATAAACACAGTCGCCTTGGAAGCCCTTGATTGCATTTGATAACAACCTGTGAAGATTGTTCATGCACCGTTCAGCTCACAGTCCTCTAAAAACTTCAAAACTTCAAACGTTTCAAAGTAACAGCTCTTATATGCTCAGAAAATACTGCAGTGTTCAATGTACTGATGAAGTAGTGTGTTGGGGTCAATTTGATCTACATTCAAACTGTTCAAAATACTGGTTAAACTTTATTTCTTCGTGAAATTTGGTAAATATTTTTCATTTAGAGTCATGAATGTTCATGTAAAGTTTTGACACATAGATGTGTTTTGGACAGGCTGTATAAAAATTGTTACTACTTTTATGTTGTGGTCAATCTGACCCACACTCGATTTTTTTAAGTGCTCAAAATACTGGTTAAACAATTTATTTCTTCTTGAAATTTGGTGAATGTTTTTTATCAGGAGTCATGAATATGCATGCAAAATTTTGGCACATAGATGTGTTTTGGAAAGGCTGTACAAAATTTGATACAATTTTTGTGTTGGGGTCAATTTAATCCACACTCGATATTCAAAGTGCTCGAAATACTGGTTAAACTATCTATTACGTCTTGAAATTTGGTGAATGTTTTTTATCTGGAGTCATGAATATGCATGCAAAGTTTCGATACATTGATGCGTTTTGGAGAGGTTGTGCAAAAACTTGTTACAACTTTTGTGTTTGGGTCAAACGGAGCCCCATTAGTTTCCATGCAATTATCCAAAAATCAACACTTTGAAAAACACTAAAGAGTGTAAAGTGAATGTTGTAGCTTGTCAAATACTAAAAATGAATTACATTAGAACTTATTCAATTTAGTTAAATAAAGACTCAATTTTACTCTAAAATTAGACGACTCTTCTCATTTATTCAAGGAAAATTCACAATTTCTTTATCTAGTTGCGTTTCACAGTCAATAAATCTGTTGAATCTGTTGTTTCTGGTTGTTAGTATTTTGGATCTTAATCACTAGACTGTTGCAGCACTGAAAAGTGTGAGAAACCAATTTTACCCTCACAAGTGTTTGACAAAAAGATGGAAGAGGTAGTACAAATAGCAATAAATATTACTTACATCAAGCACAAAGAATGTAAGATACTATTTATAATTGTAGTTATGCAGCTCAGTGTACAAATAGTCACTACAAGTAGTCATGACAAAAAAAGCTAATTTTTATCATACAAATAAAATAAAATACGTCGGTCACATTAAAATATGTGGGACAAACTAACCCTAACATAACAGAAATAACACAAACATAGAAGGGAATTATTAAATTTCTTGCATATTTAATATTTTTTGTCTCTGATAAGTTACAATAGAGTTTTTTCTGTTTTTAAACAAATCTTTAGTGTTTTTCATAGTGCTAATTTCTGGCAAATACAACGCAAACATCGTACCCAGTTTTAAACACAACAGGAGGGTTAAAAACAAAAACAAAACAACCCCATAAAACTGCAGTCTCCTGAATGTAAAGCTTCAAATTAACACAATTAACAAAAATCAACTGTAACTGTGCTCCATTGATTGGTTTTGAAGAAGTGTAAATCATTGGACACTGAGCTTATGGGTGTATTTACCAATCGGCGGGAAAGGCTGAGCGAAACAAACATTAAAGTGAACACGTGCATGCATTTCAGCACATGCATCAACCTTCAACGCATATTACATGATACCATACATAATAACAGTTATTAGTACTAATAGTAAGAGCGGTATGCTTAATTTATGCAGCACATGTTCATCACAACATTAAGATGTCCACGTTTCTGAGGGCAACAGTTCATTTAAACGAATTATGCAAATGAGGCTGCAGCTATGCTCCGACCCTGATTAAAGGAAAAGCAGCACTCTTTCCAAAGGGAATTGGATCTCATCCTCGCGCCCGTTAATCAGGAATCACTCAAGACAATACGCACTGATGAGAGCCCTCGTATCTGTATTAAATCTGAGCGCTGATGAATCTGTCATTACTGAGACACAAACACTGATCGCTGATGAGAAAATGATGCCTGTGTGATAATTAAGTATTAGCTAATGAATGTATGCGCGCCAAAAATTAATAGGTCTGCGTGCATTAGATTCTGCAGTGGAATAATTGCTTCCTAATCTAATAATCGCCTCCATCTCCTGAAATGTATTGCAGTTGATGATCAGCTTTAATCACTACGTCTCCACTCAGTCTCACAGCCGTCTCATGAAAACATGTCACACTGCACTTAGAAACCATAAAATAAGTTAGTTATATTTTGTTTTATTAAAATAAAGCCTTTTTATTTTCATGACAATTAAGAACATGTTTCTTACATCACAGTCTCAGCAATGGATGCTCTGCAAGTGAATGGGTGCCGTCAGAATGAGAGTCCAAACAGCTGATAAAAACATCACAATAATCCACAAGTAATCCACAGCACTCCAGTCCATCAGTTAACATCTGGAGAAGACAAAAGCTGAAACTAATCCAGCATTAAGACGTTTTTAACTTGTTCTTGCATTGAAAATGAGCAGCTTTTCAAGCAACGCTCGCACTGTTTGCATTTAATGCGACGGGCTTTTGTTTTGTTGTTAGGTGACGACTCATTTGATCAGGGACGCGCATAAACCCACACAAATCTAAAAATGTTATTAGAGCACCAGACAAGTGACCAAGAGTCAAAGAGGGAAGCGTTTTATTTTTGCTTTATGCATTTGCATAATCTTACAGCAAGACAACCATGACTGCAAATGGAAACTGTGGAAAAAAAGAGACAAAAAGTGCAAAATCCTAAACAAACAGGGATTTTACAAACAAGTTTTTTTTTTTTATGTTTAAAAGAGAAATGCTATGGGGTCACACACTTTCAGATTCCGCACTAATTCTATGTAATTAATCAATTGTAATTCATTCTCATGTGAATCTTTGCACAACTTTGCTTCTTCCATTCAAGCTCAAGATGCTTCTTGGAGACACTTAACACAGTTTAATTTAACTTTGTACTCACATATCATTGGTTATAAACCTTCATATTAAATTATACACATTTAAAGAAGAATCATTAGATCATTAATGATCTCAGACTTTTGGACATCACCTCTCATTTTTAAAATAATTAATGTGGATAACAATTCAATGCTCCATTGAAACAAACACTATACAGAACCTATGCAATGCTTGGAGATATTAGAGGAGACTGGGGCAAGTTGTCACATTTTGGGTGTGTGTGTGTTTTAAACTCTTTTTAATATTTCTCAGTGTGATTTTATTTGTAAAATACAGTTTACAGTAAACCAAATCCCAATATCGGGGCATATTGTTCCAGTATATGGGGTTCGTTTACAATTTAGTTGCCTATAAACAACTATGAAACAAAAACCAAGTCAAAAAATGTAAAGGTCATAAGATTCAAAACCATTGTTTTGACTAATACTGTAATTAATCCACTGACTGAAATTACAGCACACGTGTGACAACTTGCCCCGAGCTGTCAACGATGAAAAATACTCGTCCAGAGAAGCTTCAGTTCAAATGGGTTCGGGTCTTAATGTACATCATAGCTACTGAATGTTCATGTGAAGGACAGAATTTAGAAACGACCACCATGCAAAACAACTGCTAGAAAAAGTACTTTAAAGCCCAAAGTTATTAAGATACAGCCCTTGTGACAATTAGCCCCGGACTCAAAACGCAACGGCAAAGTGTGAAGAACGAATGTTGAAAAGTGACTTACTGTCATTCAGCGGGAGCGTCACACGCATCTCAACAGTCCTACAACGAAACAACAGAAAATTATTTCATATTAATGTTGAATCAGAATAAAGATGTTATTGAGAAGCTGCAGATGCACCTGATCTCCTCTCATTTTCGCGCTCTGTTCCTCACAGGCTCGTGCCTCCTCCTCCTCCTCCTCCTCCCTCAGACGCTATTCATCCGATTTATATTCGTTTACTTTAACAGTTATTATCGCCATAAAATAAACTGTGAAAAGACACGGCTAAAATAAAGCGCGTTAATAGCCATAATAACTCACGCGGCTTATTCTCCTCGTGGCGGGACGACGAGCGGCTGATAAAAACTAATAGCGTTTCTTTATTTGCACAGATTGTCAGTTTAAATCAAAAGAAACCGTTTACATTTTGTTTGTTTGAAATGTTATTGGATGAGCAGCGATGGCAGCCGTTGATAAACGCACACCTGGACGTGCAATTTAAATTAACCCGCCAAACTGCTTTCCAACCGAATAAACGGTCACTAGAAGAGAACAGATTTGAAAGACGGATAAAATGGGGTACATATATAGCTGGATAAATACAAAGTTACACGGATAAAGATAGGTATATAAAAGGGTCATATGAAGGAGCTATTCCTACTTATGCGCCAAACTGCTTTCCAACCGAATAAACGGTCACTAGAAGAGAACAGATTTGAAAGACGGATAAAATGGGGTACATATAGCTGGATAAATACAAAGTTACACGGATAAAGATAGGTATATAAAAGGGTCATATGAAGGAGCTATTCCTACTTATGTTCACATTTAATAACTGAAAAGAGATGTTCATATTTTTCTTTTCTGTATTAGCTCATGTGGCTTATTTCTTCTCATGACGGGACGAGCAGCTGATAAAAACTAATGGCGTTTAATTATTTGCAAAGATTTTCAGTTTAGATGAAAAGAAACCGTTTATGTTTTGTTTGTTTTAAATGTTTAATTGGATGAGCGCTGTTGTGGGATCCGTTGATAAACGCCGCGCAATTTGAATTAACGCGCCAAATTGCTTTCCAACCGAATAAACGGTCACTAGCAGAGTACAGATTTGAAAGACGGTTAAAATAGGTACAGATAAAGACAAACAGTAAGTTACACGGATATATAAAAACAGGTATAGAAAAGGATCGTTTGGAGATGCATATTCCTACTTTATGTATAGCTTTAATAACTAAAAAGAGATGTTAATATTATTTTTCCAGGTATCAGAGAACAAAAAGTCAATCCACTGTTAATCTGGGAAAATATGAAGACAAAAGGCGATTCTAGTTGGTTGTGAGCTGAGACCAAGACACAAGTGAAAGACAGACAGATTTCTTTAACGAGGGATAGAAATTAGAGACACATCTAGCTCAAAAAAAGTTTAGTTTGATTAGTTTGAGGAAGAGAAAATGACTCAAAGAACTCAAGGACAGTACATTCTGTATGAATTCTGAATTCTCTTTGATGAATCTCTGCTGAAATATAAAACTGCCTAATGGGGTTGTTTGCTGGGACAGACACCAAACTAGTTAAGATGTTTTAAATAAATGGTTTTAGACAGCGTTTAAATCAGCTATATCAGCAACGAACAGTTTCCACCTGCAAATCAGGTATTAAGGTTTTGAATTATTGGATTAATTATTAGAAAAATGGTAAAATCACATGAAAAATACCTTACAAACAGTAAGACAGACAGAAGGGCATTGGTTCTCCCGAAAATAAAATTTGTGTAACTATTTTCCAACTTTATTCTGCAATTGCTTCAAATCAGAAGTTCAAAATATTAATTTCATTGAAAGAAAACAAAACAAAAGACATCAAAACTGAGACACACTTTAAAGGGAATCTGAAATAAAAACAGTAAACATCAAAACAACATTAAAACTGCGAGAGTTCACCTATCATAAACAAATTTTCTACAAATATACCTAATCAATGTTTTTACAGCAGTAGCTTTTTCTTAAATATGGTTCTTTGAATATTCAAAAAGCTCAAAACCAAAGCAATATTATTGTAATATTCTGTAGGCCACACCTACAGATGTTAAAATGCTTCGGTCTTGAGCAAAACGATGAGGGCAACAAATGTAAATATGGATCAGCTAATCTATAATTGACCATATATGTGAACACACATATTAAATGAATATGTTTTGCACAAGTCAGATCCAAAAGAGACCTCAGGTTCAAGTCTTTAGTAATTAATATTTAACAGCTTCATAAACAGCTTTTGGATTGTTGGTAAAGCGGGTCATGAATATGGATCAGTCTTTTATCTCTGGGTTGGTGGGTTGGTATCTGACATTAGTTTCGCAAACATCAAAACAAAGACTTGTGACAGATACAGGCCAATAAATTTCAACACCAGACATGAAAATACATAAATTACTCATTCACACGCCCCTCTAAACGTGTATGATGCTCTTCTGTGGATCACAAAAGATGGCAAAAACAAAAAAGAGAAATTCATACAGGTTTGGAATGACATGAGGGCGAGTAAATGATGAGCGACTCTTAATTTATAGGTCAAACTATTCCTCTACGACGGCTATGGTCTCCTCAGGTCAAGACTGGGAATTCATGGCTGAGTTCTCAAAGAGCAAGACGACTTAATCTCGCTCTTAAGGGACGACAGTGTAGGGCTGGTACGGTAGCATCTTCTACCTGTCATTGATGGCGAAAATCCAGGTAGGTTTCACAAAGCTCAGATTGTCATTTTCCATCAAGGCCTGTAAAAAAAGACAGAACATGCAGTAAAAGATGATGAAAAGGAAGAAAAGACCTTGAGACGTTTAAAAGAGCGGCGAGAGCTGGAGGCCGAGGGTTTTCATTACTACTGCGGCCCTGCCGGAGAACATCACACGAATGAATCGGGACAAACAGAACCAGATCTGAACGTGCTGTCGGTGAAGACTTTCTCAAAGCCTTTCAAATGTACAGTCTATTGTACAGCAGAACGATATGAAAAAGCCTGCAACTTGAAACCGTAAGGACAAATTTTTTTTACAAAGCCTAACACATGAAGCCACTTGTTACTGGCATTTGCCAAGTCAAGCCAAAAGACAATGGACTTAGTCAAAAAACAATGGCGTTTGCGAATACTGGTTCTTTAAAGGGGTCATATGATGCTGCTAAAAAGAACATTATTTGGTGTAATGAAATGTGTTTATGCGGTTTAAAGTAAAAAAAACACATTATTTCCCACATACTGTACATTATTGTTTCTCCTCTATGCCCCGCCTTTCTGAAACGCGTCGATTTTTACAAAGCTCATCGGTCTGAAAAGCAAGGTGTGCTGTGATTGGCCATAAGTCATTTTATAGAGTCACAAAGGGCCATCTGTAGTAGAAAAATCTATATTCAGCATTGTCTTCCTTGTGACTTTTCTGTATCAGGGTTTCTGCAGGATTTTTAAGCTCAAATTTAAGACCTGCACAAACAAAATTAATACCATACGAGCGGGGTAGGGCAATGTTTATAGTAACATATTAAACTGTAAAATTACTGTAAAAAGGCAAGATTTAGTTCAGATACAAGTTTTCACAAAAACAGAAAGTTTTATAAAATGATACACTTCACATTTCATTTTTAAGAAAATGGATGAGTCGAAAGTATTAATTATTATATTAATTTAAAGGCACAATATGTAGGATTTTTGTTATAAAATATCCAAAAACCACTTGCACAGTGTGATGTGTTTCATGCAGCCGTGTACTTGCGTTGTCCCAAAAGTTCCCAAGGATTTGTAAATCCAGAGAAATTCCCATTTTAAATAATGACTCGTTCCTGTTCCTCCCTAGTCTTCAATCAATGACGTAATATCTGCACTATCCTCGGCTTCAGCTCCATAGAACTAAAAAAAAAAATGCTGCTGTACAGTTAAACTAAACCCATAATGGCTGTCGCGAATAAAATGAAAATTAAATGAAGTGTTGACTGCAGCATTAAATTTAGATTCTTTTTACATGTTTTTACAGTGTTGCGTATTATAACCAATCACACACGAGTCTGTTGAGTTTATGAACGCAATGGCCAATCAGAGGCGTTCAAGATGAGTCATCTACAGAAGAAGGGCTTATTGAAAATGCACATTTATTCTCTGCCAGCAGGTGGTGCTTTCGGAACGGCAGAAATATAACCGTTTCCCCGTTAACGGCAGTACACAAAGCAGCACAGCAGCTGACCTTGAAACCTGTAGCTCTCATGTTTATCTAATGAAATCATAGCCTTCTGAAGTTTAATCGTCACATTAAGCTGTATCGCATTTCTGGTCTTTCCGTCCCCAAATTTAAGACCTCTTGATATCATAATTAAGACTTTCTTGTACAATT